AACCAAGAACACCCTTCTTGGATTTACACAATTTTAAAGTCCTACCGAGAATGAATATCTCACACAAGGACCTCTTGTATCCACAATCCAGATAACAAGGAAAACCCTACACACTTATCTTTAACAATCCTAGAAATAAGTTGTAGTCAATTCTGAATTTTTGTATAAGTAACAATTTGAATGTTTATCAATATGAATATTGATCTTCTTCTCGAAACAAATAATACTCAAAGATAATATATGTGTTCTTTTTGTGAAAGAAAGCTGTGAAGATGTGAAAGTTAATTTCAACGGCTTCTTTCAAAAATCTGTTTTGAACACTTTTATGAAAATTCAAAAGGTTGAGGACAAAGAGTAATTTTGAAATTTGTTTCTTGAAGGTGATTTTGATTTTGAAAATGAAATTAATTTATAGAAGTGAAAAACCTTTCCAAAAAGGTATGATTATGGGACAGAAAAAAATAGTCAGTAAAAATAATAGAGAACAATGCAATCCTCCATGAAAAGTTACTATTTTTGGCTATTGTTACAGTGTTAATCGGTTAACCAAATAGGTTAATCGGTTAACACATTTCCAACGTTTAAAAATATTTGAATTTTTCATGTGTTAATCAGTTAACCATATAGGTTAATCGGTTAACACTGTAAAAATGTCCCAAAAACATAATTTTGAAATGTGTTAATCGATTAACCCATATGGATAATCGATTAACACTGAAGGTTTTTCCAAAAATACTTAATTTAAAATATAGGAAGTATTTTAAAAACATTTTAAAAGGTTTAGTGATAATGATGTAGTGAAGTGTGATTGAAAGAACACTTGTATAAAATATTTCTAAGTAAAATATGTTTATACTGTTTTTTGTAACATCAACACCACTTGAAGTTTGTAGATGAAGCTTGATCTATAGCATCATGTGCGACTTTAACTTAATCTTTGATAATGGATTCTTGTTGATTGCTTGCGTCTCATTCTTTTTGCGAATGTGTACCAATCTTGTATGAGTTGTCTTCATCAAAAACACACAGGCCTAGAAGCTTGATTCTACATTTTCAGTAGCCTTCCTGTTGTTATTTTATTCATGTACTTTCATTCCTATTTTTCTTTTCCTTCCACATTTATATCGAACCAGTGAGGACACTGCTTGATATAGTGTGGGAGAGACCTTTATTTCCATGTACCTTCCCTTTCAATTATTTTAATTCAGTTATTTTAAATTCAGCAAAATAAATCTCATTTATGTATTGTTCTCTGTTACGCAAATTTCCCCTGCTTTATTCAAGCTATACAAAAAATTTTGTCACTTCAAATCGATGCATCACTCGACGCGCCAAGACAAAGGCTGAGTTAGGGAAATCCGAGAAAGAATTCTAACAATACCAATACCGCCTTGACACCTTAGACCTCCGGTTTATGCGAGTCAGTTTCATTACCTACTTTACCTAAGCCTCAAGTCCCAGCCCAAAACGTAACCCCTAGTAGTTTATATAAGCAGTCAGCACCGCCTTCAAGCACATACCACGTGGAAAGCCGATGCAAATAAGTGATTGGTAAAAAGAAAAGCTAAGCAAAAAGAGAAGAAAAAGAAATCCCTTGTCATTTGGTTCATAAGTCTCTGGTTATAAACTCGGTAGGGCGAATTACGATTCGATCCCCCACGGCTTACAAATAGGAATCATCAAAAAAGGTATCGCACTCATGCACCAGACCTCATGCTAAGAAAGAAAAAAATCACTAACAGGTTATTCCACTACGTGCGTGCAAAGGTAAAGGGCTTAATGTGATTGTGCTAGAACAAAACTGGGTGAAATTGGAAGCGTGGAACTTTACGCCGAGCTACAGTAGCATGATTGGAACCGGCTTGCATAAGAATGAGGCCTTCGAGCGCATACCGCTTAGTGACATTGCCGTATGTGTGTTGTTTTAAATCTAGTCTCTGACATCCCGACTTGACGCCTCAAATGCTTTAGTGAAAACAAAACAGTGCCCGCCATATGATTGCATCCTTTAAATTTCTTAGACTTTTTGCTTGAGGACAAGCAAAGATTCAAGCTTAGGGGAGTTTGATAACGCGAAAACGTATATTATAAATGCCATGTTTTTCAGCTGTTAATGTTTGGTTTCACCCCGATTTCGGATTGTTCCAAGTTATTTGTCAAGCGTTTTTGCAGGTATATGAAGATCACACCCTAAACGAGCAAGTCAGAGGAAACCAACAGTCAAAGGCACAAAACAGAAGGAAAAAGACAAGAAATAGCATAAAAGATAGTTTTTTGTGAGTGCCACGTCCGTCATAGGTCCCTCACGACCGTTACAGCTGCCACGACCGTCACAGGTCCCTCACGACCGTCATGCACCCCACGCTCGTCTCATTTCCCTCACGCTCGTCACGCAACCAAAATGAAACAGAATAACGTATCAGCAACGTGCCCATGCAAGCCCATAAAATATAGGATCGTTCTCCTATATTTCCTTACCCTCAACTCCAACTCCTCAAGACTTTTATGGGAGAACCTCAGCTATAAAAGGAGGTGTGTTAGACCAGAAAAAGGGAGCCGCGTTGAAGAGAACGAAGTGCTGCCAAAATTGTTATTGAAGTCAAATTTATTTCCAGTTTTCCTTTCTTTTCCTTTAATCTGCATTGTTTTCTTTCTTTTGTATTTACTTTCCTGAATATTCACTTCTCACCAAGGTAGAATCCTGCGGACATATGTGGAGGACTACTAAAGATCCGAGAACAGTATTATCTCAGGTTTTTTTATTAATTTAATTGTTATTTTGTTTGTTTAAAAATGCATGTTTCTTTATTTTGCTACCATTGTTTAATTATGAAAGTTTTAATTACCATGTCTAGCTAAACCACTTAATCGATATGTAATAAATAAGTCAGACAAAATTCGATAATAACCGGTGCCTTTCCTTTTTACAAACTGTTTTCTGGCCGTAGTTTTTAATTAAATCTTCCAAATAAACCTTCGTTGTGAAAGCGAGAAATTATTTACAGTAGTTTTGCCACGACAATGGGAAATTCATTAAGGCGCGAACCGGTACGCGAAAGCGTGGGGTTCAAACCAGATAGTAAAAACTAGACATTTATTTTAAACACAACGAAAGCGCTTTAAAAGAAATCAGAACTTAGTCGTTTTCAAAAAGTGATTTAAACCCCGAATGGGATAGCGAAAGCATACATTCCGCCTTAGAGTTACGACTAGCGTCAACAACCAATGTGAGACAAAGGTCTTTAAACGATTATTTTTCTCCTGAAAAATTATTTGCAAAGATTAAACTGCATCAGCGATGTGTCAAATCCCCGAAAGCTAAAGTATTACATGTCGAGGTCCCCTATTATTATTCTTTAACCAAATAATTCTTCTTTAAATTTAGCCTTTATTTCCGCATTGAATTCCTTAGAACCTCATTCCAACCTAGCTAAACATAGTAACACCTAATAACACTAGATTGATTATGAGTCCCTGTGGGATCAATATTTTTATTACTACGCGATAGACTGTGCACTTGCAGTTAGTTTAGTTAGACTCAGAAAGTCGCGATCAATGTGCCAATGTCAATGTGAAAAAAAAACGCTGATATAGATGTCACATGTCAAATTTTTTCATTTTAAATTTTTTATATTAACACCATACCTAAATCCAAAAATAGTAGCTAAATTGTAGCTAATTCGTAGCGAATGTTCTGTTCCTTTTATCTTTAATCATTCATGTACTTGATGTGACAGATTATAAAGAGAGAAGCAAAGGAAAACTAGAAGAGCTGAAAATGGAAGTCTTCACCTAAAATAGCCCGATTGTTGGAAGAAATTTGGTGATTCACTAATTATTCATTCATGATGTTTTTTTTCTTTAAAAAACTTACTGTGATATGCTTGTGAGATATAAATTTGATTTTACTCGTCCTTTTGATGAAGCTGCAATGTTTCTCAACAAGATCGAAATGCAACTCAATCATCTCTGCATTGGTGGTGGTGCTTCAGTTTCAACTCCTTCTGATTTGTTATATCTCTATAGCTTTTAGTGGTTGTTTAGTTTTGAAATTCTATGTTGTTGATAATTGTGCACCCGACAATGCTTATATGCACGATAGTATTCTATAAGATATTATCTATATTGGTTGAAAAATATAATGCTAAGCAATATTATTTTTCTTCTGTTGCGGTAACAGATTCTAAATTATATGCTAAGCAATATTAATTTTCTTGTATTAAAAAAATATAGTGCTAAGCAATAATAGTTTTTAGACGTTTGACGGTTATTATCTATCTATAATGTATTTAAATTCTCAATCATATTGATTTTTTACTCTTTCTAATATGAAAGTTAGATATAAATTTGTAAAGTATGCAAATTAATTAATATTTTTTCTTAAAAAGATAACATAAATAATTAAAAAGATAAGTGGGATGAATTGCAAACTAAATAGTTTTTTTTTTAATGTTTCATGTCACTGGTCAAAATTGTATAAATAATTATGAAGGACGAAATTTATTAACGGAAATTTTGTTTCGTGTCACTAGTCAAAATTGTATAAGTAGATTATGAAAGACGAAATTTATTAAAGGAAATTATTTTTCAAAAATGAAGGAAAAAAAAGACTCAAAAAAGTCTTCAAGTATAAACATGAGAAGAGAAAGCTTTGAAATACGTACAACTTTAGTGGACAATAAAGAAAGCTATAAAAAAATATATAAACGAGTTAATGTAAAATTTCTAATTTTTCTTATTTCACACACTAATATTTTCAAATACTCCAACAATATGCATACACTTTTCTTTTATTAGAAAAACAACTTAATAATAGATCCTACAAAAAGAATAACTTTATTTGATATGTATATCTTATTACTTTTGCAAAGGAAGCTAGTACATCCATAAGAAGTAGAAAGCATACATAAACTATAAAAAACGACTCACTCATAACATTGATATTTATTTAACCTCTCTTTCTAATTCACCATAAGACAAAAAGCTAGTAGTCCTCGTCATCAAATTTGGTTGACAACTTGTTCTATCTGTTGTTGCATAATCTCATGATCGAGTCTAGAGCATGATTTAGCCATGTCTCCGGCTAATGGAATAACAGGAAGACTATCACAGTTGCATATCTCAATCATGAATCCATCTGGGTCATGGAAAAATAATTGATCAACTTTAACTCCATTTTCTTCCACCATTGCTCGAACAAAACCTATCTTCATCTCTTCCAAACATTTCTGTACTGCTCCCATGCTTTCACACTGTTCATTCACAACAGAATATTTATCAACCACTTACAAACCAACTAGTTACATATGTATGCGACATGTACTTATCAGATACTACATATATAAAACGTCACACATACTTTTATTCAGATGCGTCGATTTTACTAAGCAAAATATATATATATATATATATATATATATATATATATATATATATATATATATATATATATATATATATATATATATATCAAACATCAGATACGTCTTTTATTAAAATATATAATGTCAAATGCTAACATATGTCATATTTTATATATATATATATATATATATATATATATATATATATATATATATATATATATATATATATATATATATATATATATATATATATTTGTCATGTCATCGTATATATAGAAGTGTATAATATAAGTTAAAGCCAAGAAAACGTTTTGTATTATTTATAAGATTGTTTTTGTCCTTTCTCTATAGCGAGGAAATGGAAAGAAATAGTCTAATTTTTTTCAAACAGAATAATAAAATACAAATATTTTTTTTTATAAGCAACTCTTGTATTTACATAAGAGTACTAGGAATTTTAAATTTTATATATATAAGAAAAAAAGACAGCATGATTTGGTTTGCCTTTACCATTTATGGCATGCCTTTCTCATGTGTTTTTCTATAGTTTTTTGGTGTCATGTATAGCTTTTTTATATAAAGTCTCTTGTTGTGTTACTAAAAGAATAAAAATATAAATACAATATTCACGTAATTAATAAATTTCAATTGACATATTTGATCAAAAGAATTTTAATTTAATAATTATTAAAAAAATTATTGATCATTAGACGTAATTTTCTCATGACAAGCCCTTCGTTTAAAAAGAAATAAAATTATATATGTTGTTATATAATGAAATATTTTAAAAAGATTATTGAATCTATTATTTAATATTGTTAACATGTAATTGAACAAACAGAAAAAACAATGTAATAAATTGAATTGAAATGAATTAATTTTACCTGAAATGATATATGATTATCTTTTGGATTAATTTCCTTCTTCCTTGGAACATTTTCAGGGTTCACTACCTGAAGAAGGTGAATTCCAATTCCATAGCCAAATAGCCTGCAAAATTTACATCACATGAAACAAAAAAACCTACAAAAGTTGAAGAAAATGAATTTAAAATAAAGCCATTAATGAATGAATTACCATGCTCCTTCAAAATCAAATGATCCAGGTCTTCTAATGGGAACAAATCCAAGAACATTTTGGTAGAAATCTATAGATTCATCAAGAGATTTACAGATAAAAGAAATATGATTCACTGATTTAAGGCGTAAAGGGTTTCCTATAATGTCTTTCATTTTGTAATTTTTGGAGGATATATAATTAACTCAATAATAATATCCTAAATTGAAAAGTCGGAAATGAGGTAAAATAAAAAGAAGAAGAAGAAGAAAAAAATAGAACGTGGCCTAGAGGTTGAGAATGTGTGAAGAAGAAATTGGAGAGAATACATGTAAGTCCAGTAATGAATGAGTAACATGTATTTATATATAGACAAAATTTCTTATGTAAGGTTCTTGGACCTCTGATGCTATTATTATATATTTATTTATTTTTAAAAATAGTTATAAAATGAAGTTGAAAAAAAATGAATAAAAAATTGTGGCATGAGAATTAGATTGATTGGCCTACCACGTCGTTCCCACGTGCTTGATGGTGTATAGGGCCAATGAAAGGGTTCTGGTAAAGTGTTAGCCACATAGTGGTGCTACTCACGGGTTTGTTTTACGTTCTATTGTTTCCATTTGTGGTCTGTGCTATGTGGTCCAAACCGGCAACTCGGCTCTGTTTAAACGTGCAAAAATATGTGCAAAATATCAGACTAGGATTGGGTAGTTATTATTCAGACACTGACACTTTTAAATTTTGATTAGCAGTAATGGAGTCTCCTAATTTAATTTAAGTTTTTATTTTAGTTTTTTATTTAATAAACGTCTTTCAAAATATATTCTGTTAGTTATTTTAGTTTTTTTAATTAATTTTTAACTTTAAATATTTTAAGTGAAACATTATTGTTGAGTGTCCACCATAGATTTTTTTTCTTTTATTTTAATCATTTAATTTTTTTGAAGAATTTTACACATTTGAATCTTGAGAGTTTATTAATGTTTACGTGTATCATCAACAACTAATTTTTTTTAGATATTTTCACTTTCTTCTTTCTTTTTCTTAATCTTCTTCATCGTCATATTCATTAAAATCTCATAAATTTTTTAGAAATTTTTTCATCAGATCTTGATGCAAATCATCTATATCCAGTTTGGTAAATATGGTTATTTTTCTCTATTTCCTATTATTTGTGAATGCAAATACATTTGAATGCAAACCATATGAAGTACCCAGATTATATGATTAACCCTCTTTGAAATCAATTACAATCTTTCTTACAAATTTTCTCCACAAATCCATTTGAAGAACCCTAAGTTAAAGTCAAATCAAATCTAAAATAAATTTCGTTTTTATTGCTAACACCACTACACGAAGAAGATGAACAATAAGAAGGTAAAAAAAAAAGGTCTTTAATGTCATAAGTAACAACCTCTTTGTTGAAAAATTTAGATTAGTGTGATAATGATTAACAAGATAAAAAAAATTAAGGTTAATAAATTGAATATTAAGTAATTGTAACATAAATTGAGTTTTATGATCTGAAAATAAATTTAGAGAAGTATTCCAGAATTTTAATTTTTTCAAAAATTTGATAAGGATTAATGAAGACGGTGATGAAGATGAAGATGAAGAAAGGGGGAAGAAGATGAAGAAGGTAAAACATATTAGGTGTTGATGATGTACTAAAATAATAAATAGACGGTCAAGATTCAACCGTGTATAATTTTTCAAAAATATCAAATGGTTCAAATTTAAAAAATAATGAAGTCTATAGTAGACACTCAACAGTAGTGCTCACCTAAGACATTTAAAATTAAAAGTTAACGCAAGATACTAAATTGGTTAACGGAATAGTTTTTTATAGACTAAATTGGTTAACGGAATAGTATTTTATAGACTAAAATGTAATGTTTATTAAATAAAGGACCTAAGTGAAATCATAAATTAAATTAAGAGATTAAAATATGGATTAAGCCAAAAATAATAATGCAATGTGAAAAACATTATGTTAATGCCTACTTTTGTAAAAATCTCAAAAAAATAGTTCATCTGATTTTTAATATTAGAAAAAAATGTATTTTTAAATCTATTGAAAAATGAATGTATCTAAATTATATATAGTTTATATAAATTAATTATTTAATATATTAAAAAAATATTTTTTTTTATATTAAAAATCAAAAGGAGGGTAAAATGATCCATTTTCCATCTATAATTTTGATAAGTGCTAATACTTTTAATAAAAAAATATTGATTAAATTATAATTTTAATCTCCTTATTACTCTTCGAAATCATCATTGCTTTTATTTTTAAAGAGTTTTCATTCTCATTTTCATATTCTTTTTAGAAAAAAAATGATAATCATTTTTTAATACTTTTAGCATAAGGAAAATGATGTGAATTGGATATTCTTTTTTCTATTATTTAAATTGATTTATCTAACATAAATTATTACAAAAAAAATTACGCAATTAAACTTATTAAAGAAATGATTTTAACAAAAAAAGTCATTATTTCTAGATCTAGTAATAATTAATAAAAACATCAGTGTCATCATCTTCAAATCTAGCTGTACGAAAATGATTTTAACAATTAGAAAAGAACAGTATCAGATCTAACTTTTCCCATCTGATTTCTCTTGAAAAAGGAATCAACTGCTTCTTGATCTAATCATTTCTGAGTAAATCTCGTAATCATCATGTCCAAGAACGATAAATCTCGTGTTGGAATTGCATCAAACATGTACTCCATCTCAGGAACACAGCCTATACTATAGGTTTGTGTGGGGCATTTGGTCGAACACCCTACAAGCATACGTGATTGAATAGGATCTGAATAAATTTTCAGTGTTGTTCAAGTTGTGGGTTTCAACTCAGAGTTTGAGCAAAGCATAGAAATTGATATTGATACATACTCAATTTTTATTATAAATATATTTGACATTTTTATACATTTTATCATTAATGTATCTAAATCATATATAGACTAGATACATGCTTCCTCCATCTATTCACTTTTATAAATAAAATCACATTTAGTTATATCTATCTAAAAACTTAAAAAGTTAATTGTCTCTCGTAAATAGAATTAAAATTGTAGTTTATTAGTAAAAATATGTGTGATAGTGACATTAATTTGAAAATGATTTGTCATGTGGGTTAGAGAATGCTGAGAAAAATATACGTTGTGAATTGGGTTGGTGTTTTCCCCTTTGAGTTTTTTTGGTTTTGTTTTCTAGTAAACTTTCCTTTCTTTCTTCGCTGTCTGATATGGGCTGTAGGGTTTTGGTTTTTGTTTTTTTTTTCATGGTTAAAATTGATTTTTTGAAAAAGTTTAATTATATAATTGTTTTAAAAATTCATATTAAGTTAATTAAATGACTTTTTGACAAAGAAAAATCAATTACATGATTATAAATGACATGGAAAAATAAATTGTTGATATTTGAATATGCCACTTTCAGTAATATTTATAAGAAAAATTGTATTTTTTAAGATTAATTGAATAATTAATATATTTAAATTTTATAATGGATCAAATATATTGATTATTAAATAAATATTAAAAAAAACATCTTTATTTTATAAATAAGATAAGAGAGAGTATATTTTAAAAGAGAATATTCTATAGAATATTCCTTAACCTCATTCTATAATAAAATAGAAAATCCGTTATCATATTCTCTATATAATTAATATTATAAGTTGCATATTTCTTAATTTCATTCTAGAATAGAATAGAATACCCCTTAGCATATTCTCTATGTAATTAATATTATGAGCAATATATTTTACTATATAAAGCAATTTTCATAGGGTTTATTTAAATGCCTCTTAGTTTCTCATATTTTAATATGATATCAAAAGTCAATTGAGAGTCATTCATTCGTCATACTTTACCCGATTGATCCATTATCTTTCGATGATTTTTTTTTGCAAATCGTGTCCCAACTTCGATTTGCCTTCCATTCGTGACTCATTTTGGCATCTGATTTATGATCACCACCACATTATCACTACTGTTCCCGGCGAGCTTCCTGCAAACTAAATGTTGAAATTCAACCACAATCTATGGAGAATTTCACTCTATCTTGATTTCAAGATTATTATCAATCACGCAATGAAAATGAAAAGAAAAGGTTAAGAAAGAAAGAAAAATAACGTTGGAGAAGAAGGTGGAAATTTTCTGCAAAGTTTCTCTCTGCCCACAAATTGTGGAAACTCTCCTATTCACTTGCAACTGCAAACTGTGAATACAATGATATGAATTAAATTATGTACAAAATAAGGGTTACTCCCTATTTATAGATTTAGGTTAGCTTGCACCCCAAATCAAAGCCCAAAACTATAAAAGCCCAAATGGCTAACTTTACTAAAATAGACCTAAGTCGAAATCCTGTGTGAAGCAACCTGCTTCGACACTTCGACACTGCTTCGACACTTCGACACACTAATACAACTCGACACACACACACACATTAGGTAAATCGACTGGTCCTTATTTATGTCGAGCCACACTAATTCGACATAAGGAATTACAACTCATCACACCACCAAATTCATTGTGTCTAAGCTATCTACATTCATCATATACCTTAGCTTATTGAACACTTCGACCTGCACTCCTTTCGTCATGATGTCTGCAATCTGATTCTCAGTTTTGCAGTGTTCCAAATTCATCTTCCCTTCTGCTACCTGCTCTTAAAGATAATAAAACCTCATTTTAATGTGTTTTCTTCCACCATGTGCTATTAGATTCTTCGCCAGGTTGATAGCTGACATGTTGTCGATCTTCATGGTAATTTCTCATGACTCTTCCATGTAATCTTTTTTACCAGGTTCACCATCCATGTTGCTTGATATGCACAAAGAGAATCAAATATGTATTCTGCTTCACGTGATGATAATGTCACCCCTGGCTCCTATCTCGAACTCCAAGCAACTGGTGCACAACCTAGCATAAACATATATACAATTGTGAATTTTCTATCCTTATCATCAATACACCAACTTGAATCAGTGTATCCCACTATCTTGCATTATTTTCCTTCATCAGCTACAGGAAACAAAATTCCATAGTCGAGAGTTCTTTTCAAATACCCCACTATCCTCATCGTCGTAGTTAGGTGTGATACCTTTGGCTTCTGCATGAATCTACTTATCATACTCACATTGTATGCTAAGTCAG